GACCAGTCACCCAACGCAGCTCAGAAGGAATCTTTAGTGGTGGGTGAGAGCGGACTGTACAAAAGGCCATGAAAAGAAGCCACCACGTTGGTGCGGGCAGCAGGCTCCCTCCCTGCACCCGGCCCAGCCCTTCCAAGCCCTCTCCTCCACAGTAATGGCCGTTCCATTAAAGCCCCCCATAGGCACGCATCAACCAGGCACTAGCCACAGAGCAGCACAATCTGACGACCACCCGCTGCCATGTGAGAGCAGGAGAGAAGGACGTGGCCTTCGGGGATGAGAACTCCAAGGACACTCAGCTGGCAGGAAGGTTTGGGAGTTTTCGTTGTGATTCTTTTTCTCAGAATGTTTTGGTTTTTGGGTCACAGCCGGTGACACTCAGATGTGGGGCTTGGGGGACCAAGAGGGATGTCAGGGATCAAACCTGGGTCAGCCACATGCAAGGCAGGTGCCCTACCTGCTGTAATGTCTCTCTCCACCCCCGGGCATAAAGTTGAACAAGGAGAAAAGAGTTTGCGTGGTCGGGCATGGGGTGGCTGGAGAAGCAAGCCTGGTTCGGGGCAATGTGCAATCTCCAACCCTCAGTCAGCCTCTAGGAAGGGTCTAGAACCTCAATCGTGACTGAAGGAAGGAGCCCCAGCTCCAGCAAAGGACAGGTGGAATGAAGTCCACTTCCTGGAGGTGAGGCGGTCCGAAGCAGAGGGCCAGGGCTGGGATCCAGGGCTCGGGATCAGGCCCAGCTCCACATAGTGCCCAAGAGGCCTGGGCTAGGGTGAGCCTTGGCAGGGGATGGATCTGAGTAAGGTGAGAGCCCGGCTGTAACTGAGCTCTGCCACCTTGTGCCGCCCATCGCCTGAAGCTTTCTCCCTGCCTGGCACAGGGAGGCAGGGGGGTGGGTGGCAGAAAAGAGCTGTGAGCCAAGTCTGTGCCACTCCTCCCAGGGCAGGACCTAGGAAGCAGCGTGGCCATCACCCAGCCGCTGGTGGAACTCTGCTTGTCCCCTCGCCCCAGATGACAAGGACATGCACGCCATTCAGTGTGTTCATCATCGTTCTAGGAAACACAGAACTAGGGCCAGAGAGGCATCACAGTGGGAGAGGTGCTTGCTCTGTGTATGGCTGACCCCAGTTCCATTCCCACCATCGCATATGGTCCCCTGAGGACAGCCCAGTGTGGCCCCAAAACAAAACAGAAAACAACTCACAAACTGTATTTTCTGCGCTTAGGGATCACTCCTGGCAGGCTCAGAGAAATGTGTGGGATTTCCTTTGAATTCACAGTGCACACGGGAATCAGCCAGGCTTCATCCAGACGATGGAATTTTATAGCACAGCGGGTAGGGCGTCTGCCTTGCACGCAGCCAACACGGCCGACCCGAGTTCGATTCCTCCGCCACTCTCGGAGAGCCCGGCAAGCTACCGAGAGTATTCGATATGCCAGACACAGTAACAACAAAGTCTCCAATGGAGACGTTACTGGGCCCGCTCGAGCAAATCGATGATCAACGGGAGGGCCTTTTACTTTCTACTTTACTTTACAGTTAATGCATTATATAGAAGAATGTCTGGGGGCTGAAGATATGGCTCAGTGACAGCACTTGCTTTGCATGTATTAGGCCCTGGTGTAATTCCAAGAACTACCCCCACCCCACCCCCTGAAAAACAAAAATCAACTTTGGGCGAAGAGAGAGAGTACAGGGTTTTAAGGCACTTGCCTTGCATGTGGCCAACTCTGGATTCAATTTCCAGCATGGTCCTCTTAGCGGGCCACAGCTGCCCACTGCCAGCTCAGACTCAGCCCCTCCCAGGCTGCTGACCAGCAAATCTTGCCAAGGGCAGGCACTTCAGGGGCCGTTGCTGCAGTGCCGGGTCTGATAATCAGCCTCCTCTGGGCCCTGAAGAGGTCAGAAGCCCTCTTAGTTCTGTCCTAATTTTACTTTATTTTGTTTATCTTGGCAGAGCTACGAATCAAACCCAAGGCCTCAACAAAACAGGCAAGTTCTCTACTGGGCCGTCCGGACCCCCGGCCCTGCAAAACTACCTTTATAGACCCAGGGAACTTCAGGAGACACTCTTTCTGTCTGTTTGCTTCGGGGGCCACACCCAGCAGCTTATTCCTGGCTCTGTATTCAGGGATTACTTCTAGTGGGATTTGGGGGACCATATGGGATTTTGGAGATCGAACCCAAGTCAGCCAGCACCCTACCCACTGTACTACTGCTCTGGTCCTTTTTTGTCTGTTTCTTTGAGGGGGGGTAGGTAGAGAGGGGGCACAGATGATGGAGTGAGGGCTTACACCTGGCTTGGTGCTAAGGGATCACTCCTGGCAGGACTCAGGTGACTATCTGAGGCGCCGGGGATCAGAAGGTTGGCTGTATACTAGGCAGGCACCCTACCCGCTGGACCGTCGCTCCAATTTGAGACAGGCCTGCACTGTGGCCATGGCTGCAAAGACTGAGGGTTTAATGAACTCCTCTCCCCTGCTGCCCAGAGGATGGGGTGGAGGGGGGAGCACAGGCTCGGGGCCAGAGAGTCAGGGTGTGGTCAGCCAGAGGCCGGACAGGGTCCTGCAGGGCAGAGGGCTGGCTTCAACAACCCTCGATGCCCAGCATCTCCCAGGCATGGTGTCCAGTCCTAGACCCCGCCTGGCTGTGGGGGCAGCAAAGCTTCTGGCACTCTTGACACACACACACACACCCCACATACACAGATATATCCGGGCTCTCCACCTGCCAGGCTATCCCTGGGAGCACAGCGGAACACTCCCTTGCAGGGGTGAGGTTCCCCCACTGCTGGGATTCCCACTTCCCCACTACTGCCTCCGAGACGCCCTTTTCAGCAGTACCTGATCAGGAAGACTGGGTTCTGCACCCCTTGCTTCACCCTGAGTCCACGTATGCAAGTGGTGGGCTTCGGAGGTGCCCCTCACCCCAGGGAGGCGTGTCTGGCAATCCTGAGCACCCCCCTCCCCCCAGCCCTGGCTGGAGGAGGCAGGGGTATGAGGGCAGGCCCTGGGTCCCCAGCCTTGTGGGATGGGAAATAATCAAACCTAATAGCCGACATGTACTGAGCTACTCACATCCTGAGCATCTGCCTGCAGGGACAATTGCTCCTAACTACCGTGATGAGGAAGGCAGGTCATCCTCCCATTTTCTCACACATGTTGCTTCAGGGAGTGAAGAAACGTGTTCAGAAAGCAGGCGAGGTGGTCAGACAGGAATAGCGATCTGGGCAGTGGACACGAACCTTGAGCACGGGCTCAGGCGGTGTGACCAGTGCCCTGGAGAGGACTCAGGAATTCCCAGACTGTAGGCCCATCACTCACAGCTCTCCCCCAGACTCCCCCTAAAAAACGATCTTCAAGTTTGCTGATTAGCTGCTGCCCCACCCCCACCCAGACTCCGAGCTTAGTGGAGGACACTGGGCCGCACGCTTACAAGGGGCCTGGTGCTGCTCTGACTTTGGGGCAGGGGTGTGAAGGACAAAAGACGGGCAGTCTCTGCTCTCTTGGGACACCAAAAGAGTGAGCTCTGAGGAGGCAGAAGCAGAGGGTGGGTGAGAGTAGGGCTGAGGGCTTCCTGGAAGAGGTGGTAACCAAGCTCTTCTCAAAAGCTGAGAATCCCTCCACCTCCCCAGCCACAAACTCTAAAAGCCTCCATTCCAGACATACCTGACTCATTCACCAACTACCTTCCCAGACTCCGGCTGGAGCCTCCACGAAAATGCTCCTGCCTGAGTCAGACAAAAACAGAGACATCAGAGCACACTCTCACACAGCCCTGTGCATGGACTTCCTCTCCTGTGCCAAAGGCCCAGTGTGGCGGTGCTCCCCAGAGCCCAGGCTGTGCTCCCTGTCCTGGGTCCTCCTGGAGCATCCAGGCTCCACGGTGGCACTCAGACAGCATGGGACACACAGCAGGGAGGCACTGCCTGAGGTCCCGCCACGGTCACACAGGCAGTGCTGCCACTGCAGAGCCACACAGGTAAAGCCATGGGACACTTGGCTTACAAACCTGCAGCCCTGGGACCGTGGCCTGGGCGGAAAGGCGACGGCCGGTGACAGCCGACAGGGAGTGAGCAACTGAAGGACAGCGGCAAATGGGGTTTCCTGAAGCAGAGACAGGAGAAGGCCCACTCCACCCTCCAACTCCTCCTCTGCAGGCTGAGCAGAATCCTGCCTGCAAGAAGCTCCAGCCCATGACGGTGCAGCAAGCTCTCCTGAGGCAGCCTGCCAACTCAGGTGCTTCTTTGCCAGCCAGCTCTCCTCACCTGGTTCTCACACACACACACACACACACACACACACACACACACACACACTGATACCCAGCTTTCCTCTCCTGGTCCCAGGACACACACACTCACACTCACACTCTGACACTGAGCTCTTCTCACTTGGTCTCAGGGCATACTCACACACTGACATGCTCACACACTCATATGTATACATGCTCACACACACTCTCACACATATACACACACGTTCATTCACATACTCACACACGCACGCTTGCACACACACATACTCACACATGCTTACACACACATGCTTACACAGGGACACATAAACACCCACAACCACACATTCACACACACACTCATACATTCTTTCACTCACACATGGTTTCTCCAAGGCACACACAAATACACGGTGACACATAACACACACACAGGGCTTATCTGAAGCACATATAAATACACTTGCACAGTCACACATACAGGGCTAATCTGCGGTGCGCGCACGCACACACACACACGCACACACACACACACACACACACACACACCTTGTTTGCAGCCCAGAGGCAGCCTGGCAGGCTCCTGGAGGGTGGAGCCATCACTCAGACTTTTCCAAACCTCCTCAGCTGAGCCAGAGGAAGAAGCAAACTTCCAGCAGACCACAGACCAACTTAACCCAGCTCCACAGAAGGCAGATCGGCAGGCACAGCTGCTGTCCCCTCCTGTCTAGGGTGTTCCATGCCCAGCCCTGACTGCACTCACCCAGGGTGTCCGAGCCGCTCTCCACCGTCTCGTTGACCTTCCTCGCAACTCTGGCCACTGCCTCGCCCATCTTCTTCAGCATGCAGACGCGGGTATCCTGTCGCCAGCCACCAGGCTGGACTGCTGCTCATACGGGCACCTGGAGAAGACAGGCCCTCAAGTGCCCGCCTACCAGCAAGGGACCAAGCCCAGGGTCCGCCCTCCCCAAGGGCCTGGGCTGCAGAAGCATGGGTGGGGACCAGCTCCCCACGGACTCAGCCTATGAGGGATGCTCTGCCCTTGAGCGGTGGCACAAGCCGGCCCTCCTGCTCTCTGGGCTGGTCAAGCCCAGCGAGTGACCTGAGCAACTGGCAGCAGTAAGGCAGCAGGTGATTCACTCGACAGGTGGGGCAGGAGGTGTGGCTGGTTACAGGAAGGGCGCGTGCCCTCCACCCGCCCCTCACACCTTCAGCATCTCGGTCACCCCCACCTGAGCCAGGTCTCCTCTCGGTGCCAGGAACGGAGCCAGAAAGCTGCATGAGAGGGGGCACTGTCTGCTCCGAGCTCCCTGGTGGCAGCTGGGTGGTCTTAGGACCTCCCTCCCACTCTCAGGAGAGGCAGAGGGGCAGATTTCCCTGCAGACCCCATTACAGCCTGAGCTCATCTGCAAGATCCCAGAGAAAGGTTCGGGGAGGGAGGCAGGCGTGGAAGTGAGAGAAGGGAAACGGGATCACGGGGAGAAGAGGCTTGAAGGGGCCCCAGGGCTGTGAAAAGCACGTGCCTGGCACATCGAAGGCCCTTTTTACCAGAAGGGAAAAAATGAGGGAGGCAGCAAGCAGTCAAAATGGTGAGGTACCGGGGTCAGGGGGATAGCTCAGCAGAAGGGGCGCATCATGGCACACGCGAGGACCTGAATTCAAACCCACAAGGGCCCCGCAGCTCTGACAGATGTGACCCCGCAGCTCCCCAGGCGAGGCCCCTGTGGCCCTGGTGACATCAACACAGTAGGGCAGTGCCGCATCCTTGGGTCCGAGTTATTCATTCAGACCAGGTGGCCAAATAATGCCAGAACCCCTGAACATTGATTAGGAGGTACAAACCACCCACTTTTGACTTTAGGTGTCGAAGATTTCAGTGATCTAGAAGTATTTCCAACTGTTATTACAGAGGAGGAAACTGAGGCAAAGAGAAGACAAAATGACCTAGCCAAGATCAGAGAGTGAGCGGCACTAATGCCATCATCCCCTCTCCACACCTGGTGCTCACTGTTTCACAAAAGTCATCCCCAATGCCGATGCAGCTCCTCACCAAGAGGTCAGGCAGCCGGAGGTCAAGGTCAGTAGTGGCCTTCTTGGCCCCACAGCCCCAATTCCAATCTCCCAAATGCCTCAGGTAGCTCCAACGGACTCACTCACTCTGAAGGTCAAAGGCAGAAAAAAGTGGTGCATGTGTGTGTTTGCCACTAGAAGATACCCAAGAAGACAAGTCTGATCGCCAGACTGCACTTGCTCACTCAGAAGCCCTAGGAAAGGTTATTTTTGCTTTGCGGGCCACACCTGGCTTACTTCTAGCTCTGTGCTCAGGGTTCTCTCCTGGCAGGGGCCGGGGACCATCCAGGCCAGCAAGGCAAGCATCCTACCCACTGTACTATCTCTCCAGCCCCAGCGGGAAAGATTCTTGACCTCTCTGAGCCCCGGTCTTTGTCTTTGTACACTGTGTAATATCCATTCCCATGGGTTCCTATGAGGACTGAACAAAATATATGACACGGAGAGACTCAGTGAAAACTAGTTGGGAGGATGCGAGTATGTACATGTGATGCCAGCATCGAATGCCAGTTTCAAGTCCTTCTGACTCTGAACAAACAACTTGGTGGAACTCATCTTTGAGGAAGGAGTAGAATTTCCATCTCTCCACCTTCAGGAAGTTTTCCCTGATTGCCTCAGCCTCCCAGGTTTTCTCCTCCCTCGGATTTTCAGAGGCACCTAATATCTCGGCACAAGCCAGTTGGGTGTGTGAGCTTTCATGGTGTATCTTGTTGGCTTGTTCTGTTGCACACCCAGAGATGCTCTCAAGGGTTACTCCTAGCTAGGAGCTCAGGTGTCATTCTTGGCAGTGTTCAGTGTTCGTATGGTGTCAGGAATTGAACCCAGGGCGCCCACATGCAAAATGTACACTTCAACCCTTTGCGCAATCTTCCAGACGCTGTTTCTGAGCTTTTAAAAATATTCATTCTTGGGGCTGGAGCAAAAGCACAGCGGGTAAGGCCTTGCACGCCTTGCACGCGGCAGACCCAGGTTCGATTTCCAGCACCCCATACGGTCCCCTGAGCACTGCCAGGAGTAATTCCTGAGTGCATAAGCCAGGAGTAACCTGAGTATTGCCAGGTGTGGCCCAAAAAGCAAAAAAAAAAAAAGAAAAAGAAAAAAAATTCATTCTTGTCTCCCCAGTTGGCCCGAAGGCAACTTGAGGCAAGGAGCAGACCTGGACTGTGCTTTGTTCCTGCATTTTCTGGAAATGACAGTAACCAACTGCCACCATTTGGATTTTAAATCTACATCTAGTTCCGCTGCCTAGATGAGAAGGGCCATGGAATGCAAATGCCTAACAGGGCCAGGTGGGCCACACGTATAAGACAGCAAGGAACAGCGAGGACTCTGCCAAACTGTGCCCAACACTCGGGCCGTGTTGGCCGGCTTTGGGGTGGTACTGAGAGCCGAGTACTCAGATAGATGTTTAACAGTCGTTCCCAGCAGTGCTCAAAGGACCCTAACACAGTAGTGCCAGGGATCAAACCCAGATCCTCTTGCGTGGGAGGGAAGTGAACTTGGGACCACACCCACCCAGGGTGTGCGCTCAGGGCTCACTCCTGGGACCCGAGGGAGTGCCAGGGATCGGACCTGGGTGGGCTGCATGCAAACCTTTGAGCCAGGTCCAACCCGAAGCATTCCCAGCAAGTGACCAGTCGGGTGCAGACTGCAAATAAGAGAATGAATGGGTGGGGGGGGGGATGCTGGCCGCTGGGCTGTCCCTCCCGCGCGCATCCATCGCCTGCTTCCACGGGGCCCCGGGCTGGCATGGGTCGCACCCGGACCCCGACTTCTCCCTCCGCTGCGGCTCCCGGGCCCTTGGCATCCTCCACCCTCGCTCTCATCTGCAGCTCCGCGATCCGCGCGGCCGCCCGGGCTGCGCCTATATTTAGCCCCCGCCGCGGCGGCCGGGGAACCCTAGAGCCTGGCAGCGGCGGCGACGGGCAACCGGAGCTCGCTGGGTGCAAAGCGAGCGGCCGCCCCTGACCCACTTCCCCGCGCCCGGGGCTCCGCCCCCCCGCCGCCCGCGACCCCGCGACCCCGCAGCCCGCGCCCGCCGCGCCGGGTCCCCGCCTCGGAGGACGCGCGCGCGGCGGGCGGGGACGCGGGGCCGGACTCCCGCGGGCCGAGGGGCGGCCGCTGCGGCCGGGCGGGAGCTGGACGCCCCCGGAGGCGCCTCCCGCGGGAAACTGAGGCCCGCCCGCTGCCCGCCCCCCGGGCCCGCCGCCCGCCGCGGGGTGTCCTTGGGGGGGGGGAGGGGACGCGGGGCCCCGCTCCGGGCCGCTGCTCGGCTCCACTTACGGCGACAAAAGCCTCCCAGCGCCCAGCGCGGCGGCGCAGTCCCGCTCCCGCAGCCACCGCCGCGCGTCGGGGACCGCCCCCTCCCCCCCCCGCTTGAGCGCGCGCCCGCGCAGCCAATCGGCGCGCCGCCCTGGGCCCCCGGGGCGGGAGCAGGCGGCGCGCGGCCAATCAGCGCGCCCGCCGGCCCCGGAGAGCGGCGCGCGCGGAAAGGCGATCCCCGCGCTGGCCCGGCGGGTCCGCTTTGTGCGCGCGGCCCCCGGAGGGCGCAGGTGTAGGCGGGAGCGGGCGGCGGCGGACCCCCGGGCTAACCGGCTCCGGATCCGTTCTTGTCGAGGAAGTGAGGCGTCGTGGAGCAAACCGAGGACGGTCTGGAGAACCCGGAAGATGGGACGCTTTCCCCGGGCCGCCTCAGGCCCCGTGCTGGCGCGGCGAGGGGAGGATTCGGCCGCCCCGAGTCAGTCAGCCCTCGAAACGCCCGCGTCAAGTCAGTCAGCCCTCGAAACGCCCGCCTCAAGTAAGTCAGCCCTCGAAACGCCCGCCTCAAGTCAGTCAGCCCTCGAAACGCCCGTGCTCTCCGCCGGGATGAAGAAGGCCCGTGAATTCCCGCCTCCCAGGACCCTCGCGGACGGTGCAGGAAACGTTTGACCCCGGGCCACACAGCCGCCGCCGGAAGCCAGTTACCGAGTCACCGTGGACCCCTCTGAGTCCACCCGTGAACAGACAGGCAGGCACTTGGCACGCGGGACTCCTCACGGGAGAAGAGCATTTAGTCAGCCTCGTCAGCTGAGAGAGTCACGTTGGCCCGGGTCTTGAAGGATAAGAGTTTGAATCGCGCGCACCTCTCTCTCTCTCTCTCTCTCTCTCTCTCTGACGCCTTTTAGGGGGCGAGTGTTGTACCAGAGCTGGCGGTGCTCGGGGCTTACTCCTCGCTCTGCTTTCAGGGATCACTTTTGACTGGGTCCCCGGGGACCGAATGGGATGCTGGAGATCCAGCCCAGGTGAGCAGGGTACCAGGCAAGCACCTTTACCTCCCTTTGGCCCAGGCGTTGGACTCTTTACCTCAAGTACCTCAGACTCTAATGTTATTTGGAAATTACAGATGTTATTATTAAAGTCCTATTGGTTTGACTGGGCAGGAGGAGTGACTGAACAGGGGTAAGGTGCTTGCCGTGCACGGGCTGACCTGAGGACAATTCCTGCCATCCCATATCCCTGAGCCTGCCAGCAGTGATCCCCGGGTTCAGAGCCAGGAGTATACCCTGAGCCCTGCCAGATGTGGTCCCCAAACAAAACATGTATTTTTTTTTTAATGAATTGAGTCTGTTCTGACCAAGTCAAGCTTCTTATTGCTCTTGACAAAGAAAATCCTGCTACTTTGGTTTCATGTAAAACCAGGACTCAGAGGAGCCTGGAGATCACTCAAGGGGCTAGGGGCATTCCTTCATCCAGGAGCTCTGGTGTTGATATTCATCACAGCGTGAGCCCCCAGTCACCACCAGGATCGACCTCCAAGTACCGAGCCAGGAGCAGCCCATGAGCGCCACTGGGT